TCGACCTGCCTGGCATGGTAGAACCTGCAGGAACATGTGTTCCAACCAATATAGCTCGGTTGGGTCATCACGATAGGCAAGCCCGACCACCACGTCAAGGTAGCAGATACGGTCGGGCCATGTTTTGAGAGTCTGTTTAAGACCACCACTTGTTATGAGGTATTTATTTAGACTTTACTCATGCTCCAATGCGAGCATGCATTTACCTGCTTCTTATTGGACTCAGAAAAGTTGTAACAAGAAAACCCCTTTGGAGTTTATCTTAACAATTAAAAGGTCATGAGTATATATATATATATATATATATATATATATATATGGTGCCTCCTTGTACCAATATTTATGTGCTCAGATAAATAAATATATTTACCAGTGATTTGAGTCCAAAGGTTCAGAAAGACTGATGGGTTATTTTAGTGCTTTCTTAGTTGATGGATTCATTAGAACTCATCCCACCATAATTATGAGATGACTCGTGTTAGTGGAATATAGATTAGATCATTACCTGAAATACATCGAGTGAGAGGCCCTCTAACTGAATTACCTTCGCAGTGGTCATCAGAATGTCAAGCATCTTTCGACAAATTCAAATCATTGCTCAGCTCAAAGCTTCTTTTAACACACTTCGATTCCTGCTTGAGAATTGTTGTTGCATCTGATGCCTCTAGTCATGGAGTTGGAGTAGTGATATCTCACGTGTTTCTGGACAAATCAGGAAAGGCAATTACTCATGCTGCTAGATCACTCATCCCAGCCTAGCGTCAAAATGAAAAGGATGCTCTTGTAATCATTTTCACTGTTAAAAGATTCCATAAAATGCTCTTTAGCCGTAGGTTTACTCTACTGACAGATCACAAACCTTTTATTGCAATCTTTGGTTTGAAGAAAAGAATCCCTGTCTATACGGCCAATAGATTACGGCTCTGGGCAACAATGCTTCTGAGCTATGATTTCAGTATCAAGTATCAGTCGACAAATACTATTGGTCAAGCCGACTCTCGATTAATTTGAGTTCAACACCCTGGACCAGATGATATAATCATTGCCTTCACAGTAGTAAACCCAGAAATACAGGGTATAGTGGCAGATGCCATTCGAAACATTCCAGGGTCGTCAGATGAAGCCAGAGAAGAAACCCTCCGAAACACAACCCTACAAAAGTTCGAAAGTTCCACCTAAAAGGGTGGCCCTCGAAGATCAGCTCCACAGAGCCTCAACAGTTTTACCAGCGTAGACTCTCAATCATCGAAGACTGCCTGCTATTTGTCGAAAGTCTCATAATCTCAAAGAAGCTGCAACCAGCAGTACTTGATCAGTTGCACTCAGGACATCCTGGAATAAATCTCATGAAAGCACAAATTTATGTATACTGGTCACATTTAGACATTCAACTGGAGGAGCTATCCCGTTCGTCTACCAAATATGCATTAGCAACAATAGCACCGCGGAAAGCAGAGCTGCAATCATGGTCAACACCACGGTCACTGTGGCAGCATATACACTTGGACTTTGCTGGTCCACTTCATGGACGAACTTACCATCTGGTTGTTGATGCACACAGCAAGTGGCCAGGAATTTTTCTCATGGAACATCCAACTGAAAGCTACACAGTCAGAAAACTACGTCAACTATTCAGTCGTTTCGGGGTTCCAGAATTCATAGTTAGCGACAGTGGAACACAGTTTAAGTCCTCTATCTTCTCAGAATTTTGTCGACAGGACGGAATCAATCATGTCCGAACAGCTCCATTCCATCCACAATCCAATGGCCAAGTGGAACGCTTTGTTGGTACATTAAAAAATGCTCTGAAAAAGTCGAAAGAGGAGGAGACCACCGAAGAGATCATAGAAAGGTTCCTGCTTATTTATCTCTTTACCGAACCCTCAGACGATTAAAGGTGTCTCTCCAGTAGAAGCTCTATTTATTGTGTTGGTTCTTCGTTTTTATGGTTTGTAACTCTATGGGTATCTAGTTTATTTCTAATTTACTATCGCTTATTAAGTAGCTTGATTTCTTAGAACGAATTGTTAACTTGTATATTTGTCACTAACGCGAATTTTTATCCTAATTTTAGGAAATTAACGGTCGAGGAAATCGATGCTCATCTCGTAAGGATGTCTGAGAAGGATTAATTATATGAAAAGTGTCTATTTTGTCTTAAACCAAATATATTTTTCACTTGAATGTTTAACGTTACAACCAATAGTAGTACACTATAAGTCCTGGGATATTTTGTAATATAAGTTCGTAGGTTGTTGGTACACTAGATAGTATAAATCAGTGGCTGATTACCATATGCGACATAGTTCCAGTGATTTAAGTGGTATAATTACCCGTGATCAGTGACTATCCTTTTCATACTTCCTTTCTTGTTAGCAGTTTTTCTACTCACCATACGTTCTCGAAGTGTAGCGATTGAAACAAGGGACTGGTCTCTCAGTTCGTGCTATCCAATTATTATTTTCTAGTTTTGATTTCAGCTATAATATGCATGCTTTTAGATGCAATTACTTTCCAATATACTGGGTGTCCATTTAACATAATTGACATCACTAATTTAACAACGAATGCTAATTGGGTATATATCCTAAACAAATTTTTAGTAGTATTGTGCAGTGGAAATATTCTATGAAGCTGTCTTTCAAAGTGAACTTCATTTTCTAAGTGGATGACAATGTTATAATCTTATGTTCGGCAATCACCGTTATCTTATATTTCAGTAATCTGTGTAGTATGAATTACAATGTACAACCCTAATAATATACTAATTTTAAGATCTATAAAATGTTTTCTAGTATTCATAGATAGGATTTATCTTTATAATCGATGTGTGATGAACATAGACCAGGTAATGTATTCTTTCTATCTTATTTCTATTGAAAGGTTTAACTCCTTGAAGATCTTGTATCCAATCATATAGTTTGTACTTCTGAACATTTTACTTAATAAGCTTAAACATGCATCGATATAATGTCATCCCCTTAATGTCATTTTTACAAAAACGAAGGGGGAAATACTTGTCGAACCCTTAGAACAATTTGAATGCATCGTCCTGATCAGCTTTTCATTAGGTTCTGACTTATAGACTAAGAAAAACTCGATGATATCTGATGATTTATTATAGTGAGGTGATATACAGATCTTCATATTTCGAACAAACAGGGATTACAATATCGTGAAGTTTGCTCCCTAAAAATACGTCAAGAATTATAAAATTATAATATGATTTCACTTTTGTAGAGACTTTTTATTAACTGCTCTCAGTAAGGTTTTTAGTAACACAAATCCAAAGATACCTCAGTACCAAAACAAGGGAATTGAACTCTGCCCGTCCCCATTTGTTCGCTAAACCGATCGTAAGGAGATTATGAAGTAACTTGTCAAATTCCAACTATTACTGAAGTCACTGAGTAGTCACCTCGCTATAGATATAAACCACTGCATTCCGGTATAGTTCAAAGAATAAGGTACTTCTGAGTTTGACTCTACATGGAGTCGTGGTTACTAGCAGCTAACTACTTCCATACTGGAATAAATTTTCTGTCTATTGCTTCCTAGTTCCTGTTGGTTCGTCATTTGATAACATATATGACTATAGACCATCTGTAGATTAGTACGGTTTCTCAATTTCCCGTTGTTGTTTTTCAGGGCCGCAGTTAGTCCGTCTACTTTGCTTTGTATGCATTTTGGACCTTTAGTCACAACTTAGTATATTTGGTTTTTATACAGGAGTCTGATCCAGCAGACGTTTCATCGAGACAATTCCCTGAGGATTTGTCAACAGAGACTGAATTATTGAACTTTAACAACGAAGAAATATAAACCATTACTAATACCTCATATTACTATTAGTTAGCATCTGAGTTATCCCATGGTTGATAATTAGAACTGAATTTTGATCAGTCTTTATTGCCACATGCGGATCATTCATGGATTGTCTCGATACAGCTATCTTGTCATAAGTTACTTAGAATAGATGTATTTTTACCAGTAAAATATATTCTAAATAACCGGATAATCTGTTTTCATTAAAAGTAAAAGGTACTGGACTCCGATCTCAGTATGAGTATTAATGGTGGGACGGTGGTACATTCAACTAACGAATCCAAAAGGGGACAGGGTGCGCTTTCTAGACTGCACCGCTAACCACACACCAAATATTCTATAAACATCTGAGAACTGTGGGTTATTCATAAGTAGCATTCAACAAAAATTTACATGTCAATTCATAACCAGATAGTTTTGTCCATTTGTTAGCCTACTTGGAAATATGGTAATAACAGTCTAGACATAACATATATGGAATTAAGGCTGACCAATTATAACTATCATATAATATTCGTTTTATGAAAGATATCTGCTAATGATTTTAGGTTAACTAAATGAAAAACTGCTTCCAAATACCAAAGATTCGTTACTACTGAAAAATATGATTAGATTGAGAAGGCAGTACTATGGTAAAACAAATTCAGTAAAATCTTGGGTCAAATCATGTATATCCCGATCTGTAGTCCTACACCTCGTATTGATATTAGCTAAAAAATTGTTGAAAACTAGCAACCGAGCTCCTCAACAATATGCACTCACGACCTTACTAGGGCTCGAACTCTCAAATATATTAACTAAAAAAATGTCTTGTATGGGGGATTTGTGAAATGTTCACAGCCATCCTTTGCAGGTAACGGGTAGGAGTTGTGCAGTATGGTGAATTGACTGAAGCTACATATTGACGCTGTTGAATGCCGGCTGAAAGGCCTAAAAGTTAGGCGTTAGCACGTGAGACTGAAGGTTTAGGATCCAATTCCAAGGGGCGGGGTCATGGATGGGCATTGACGAGGCTTCTAACACCAGAGTGAAAAAGCATCCCAGGTTCCCAAAAGTCGTCAAAGTTAGATCAGTTCCCGACCTGTGTCATAATTGGATACTCAAATATCTGAGCACACGTGATTTACGTTGTAAATCTATCAAAAAATTTTTGGTTTAAAACATGAACGCATATATTTTATTTCAGAAACATTTTAGATTCACTCAACAAGTTAATCCAAATAAAATAGATGCCAATCGCATAATACTCTTCAAATTAAGCTACATGTATTATATTATCTATCTACAATCCCTCTAATAAACGCAATTACCATTCCAATGCTACTCGTGTAACAGCAATATCAACTTTTCTTTCGTCAGCACTGTGATCTTATAAATTTTTATCCATTAGTTTTATTTTTTCTCTTCACATGCTTAATACAATATAGCTTAACAAATAAAATTAACGTTTACAATCGTTGAAATTTTAGTAATTTTTATTATTTTAGCGGAAATGAAAACTAATTTTTTTTAATATCATACTAGAAGTGGCTTTTTTCACTGTCTATGTGATTCACCAATTGACTATTGAAAAAGCAACGAGAAAGACACTTTATTGCGACTATTAATTTTAGATTTATATACCTTAGGAAGAAGTTATCCACTGTAGTTAGTATTCTTTGCCATGTTTGTGATCAGGTCCATGATGATGGTGGTCATGCTCATGATGATGATGGTGGTCGTGGTCGTGGTCGTCATGATGGTCATGTTCATCGTGATCATGCTTATCGTGGTCTTTATTATCGCTGTATTCATATTTATTACCATAATCGTATTTGTCATATTTCTTATAGTAATCCTTATAATGCTTACCATATTCTTTGGTGTAACCGTATTTCTCGTAATCCTTTCCATAACCATATTTGTCATACCCGTACTTTTCGTAACCATATTTGTCGTATCCGTATTTGTCGTTACCATGTCTCTCATGGCCATACTTCTCGTGATCATATTTGTCAGACCCATATTTGTCATAACCCTTCTCATAACCATATTTATCAGAGCCATACTTGTCGTAGCCATATTTGTCATAACCCTTCTCATAACCATATTTATCAGAGTCATACTTGTCGTAGCCCTTCTCATAACCATATTTATCAGAGCCATACTTGTCGTAAACCTTCTCATAACTATGTTTGTCAGAGACGTACTTGTCGTAACCCTTCTCATAACCATATTTGTCGGAGCCATACTTGTCGTGACCCTTCTCATAACTATTCTTGTCAGAGCCATATTTGTCGTAACCTTTCTCATAACTATTCTTGTCAGAGCCATATTTGTCGTAACCCTTCTCATAACCATATTTATCAGAGCCATATTTGTCGTAACCCTTCTCATAACCATATTTATCAGAGCCATACTTGTCGTAGCCCTTCTCATAACCATATTTATCAGAGCCATACTTGTCGTAAACCTTCTCATAACTATGTTTGTCAGAGACGTACTTGTCGTAACCCTTCTCATAACCATATTTGTCGGAGCCATACTTGCTATAGCCATATTTGTCGTAACCCTTCTCATAACCATATTTATCAGAGCCATATTTGTCATAACCTTTCTCATAACCATATTTGTCCTTGCCATATCTGTCATATCCATACTTGTCATAACCCTTTTCATAACCATATTTGTCATATCCATACTTGTCGTAACCCTTTTCATATCCATATTTGTCATAACCATACTTGTCATATCCGTGTTTATTATAGTTATACTTGTCATATCCATATTTATCATAGCCATACTTATCATAACTATATTTGTCATATCCTTTTTTTTTATAACTATATTTGTCGTAACCATATTTTTCATATCCATATTTACCATACCCGTACTTGTCATAAACATGTTTATCGTAACTTTTTTCATAGTTTTTGCTGTAAGCATATTTCTCGTCTCCCTTTTCATGACCATATTTGTCATAGATTTTACCGTCAGTGTACTTGCTGGAATCATCACTTGTGTACTCACTACTGTCTTTCTTGCCATTGGAATATTTATCATAAACATCTACAGAACTTTCATGACTGTCACCTCCACCATGATGACTGGTAGCTGTGTCAATTCCATTAGTATATCCATTGTGTGCACTATAAACGCTGTTCAGTATATAAGTTATTAGTATACTGAATACTAATAAATTCATTTTTTCAATTCTGAACAACAATTTTTGAATATGCTATGATTACTTAAACAAAAGCATTTACGCTGTATACACTTGAGGCTTTATATATAAAAGCTACTCATGAAGTACATTCGTTAAAATTCAATATTGTGCGTAATTTACAAATAACGCTTTATATTGTTGCAAAGTTCACATTTGTATTGAAAATGTAAAGTGTAATACAGAGTGCATTAAGACTGTCATTTAAATGCTTTTTACTTCGTTGGATTATTTCAAACTGTTTGTTTTCCATTTTACAGTTATTGATATTCAGAACCGTAACTGACCAATCTCTTTTGTGAGTTTCATCCGGCTGATAAGTCCCAAACATAATTGATCACACGTCCTTGATTCTAGTGCTAGCCGCTATATAATTACATAGATAATAGAACTTAGATTCACAAAGCAATATTTGTTACTACTATTTTTAACAATTTGAAATTAATCTTCTGACCCTAACCCCTATCTGTTTAACAAATAAGTAAAATATATTAAGAAAAAAAGCTGATAATATGTTTTAAATAGTGTCTAGGACACCAGTTTCGTTTAATTCGGCGTTTTCCAGTTGTATATAGTAACGTCTATGTTGATGTATTCACTGAAACTTTGGCTCTGTACCATCGCTACAAACTGCAGAGCGTTAGACGCTAGGCTACTGAGTCATTATAGTCGCCAACCTTTTTAAAAGGTCAGATATTTATTATCGACTGTAAGGGTTTGTATTTCTTCACTATTGGTATCCCAGAGTGATCATGCATTATTTAAGAAACTTGGATTGCTCCCCTATAATTAATAATAAAATTCAGATCCCTACAATAATAAGAATATAATATCTGTTGAAAAAGCTTGTGACTTTGTATTGTATTGTAAGTGATAATATGGTAACATTGTAAATTAATAGTAATAGAAAAAAAGGAAAACTATACCACCAAAGTATAAATGACCGCAAGATTTCTTCGAGTAGATTAATTGGTGGGACCCAGCTATGGAAATTAGTGTACTGCCCATTCCAAGTAGGTTTTCTGTATATAGATCGCTGTAAAAAACCATCGGGCATTCTTTTTAATCGGACATCAAGAAAGTGAAATTCATGGTTTGTTTCTGTTTCTAAAGTGAATTCAATTGAGGGGTGACAATTATTGAACATTTCAAAATTTCAGTTAGGTCCATGTCTTCACAAATAATAAAAGTATCATCCATATATCTCTTATATAAATGAAATCTCTCAATTATTGGTCGAAGTACCGAATTTTCTAGATTAACCATGAAATAATCAGCCAAGAGAGGACCCAATGGAGAGCCCATTGCAACTCCATCTACTTGTCTATAGAAAACATCATTAAATCTAAATGGCACGTTGAGCGTACATCGTAGAAGTAATTCTTTAAGATGATGTTTTGGGATACACATATCAAGATTATTGTTTTCAATATAGTCAAACAAAAAACAAATTGTTTCTGTGAGAGGAACATTTGTAAACAGAGAAGTGACGTCTAATGAGAACATTTTTTTACCGGTTACGTTGATATTTCTAATTGAGTCGACAAATTCAAAGGAATCAAGACAATTGTATTTATTGATATGATTTCTAACAGGTTTTAAAATGTCAACTAACCACTTAGCGACCAAGTGATAAGGAGAGTTGTTCATATCAAGTATCGGACGTAGTGGGACAGTATTCTTATGAACTTTTGGGAGCCCATATAGTATTGGTATAACGGAACCCGACGGTTTGAGATGTTCATAGAGGTCACAATTGATAATAGACTCATCTTTCATTTTCTTTAAGACTTTAATTAGCATCTGTTCAGTTTTTTCAGTTGCGTCTTTTTGAACGGTCTCTATGGAGAATTTGACCGGATCAGATAATATCGAAGATATTTTGGAGATATAATCAAGGCGATCCATAAGGACAATTCCTGAACCCTTGTCTGGGCGACATAACACTATGTCCTGATTTCTCCGAAGGTCAGATAATTGAGATTTATGTTCTTTTGTGAGTAATCGATTAAATGTAGGTGTTTTATTTACATATTGATTACAACAATCCACAAGAGTTGTTTTGAAATGCTCAAACTATTTATTGGATACTGGAATAAGGTCATTTGTCTGACGAACGAGGCTTTCGAACTGGATTTTAGCGTTGAGCTCATTAATGTTAGTAGACGTAGTACAAAATTTAGGACCAAGGGATAATGCTTGTAGTTGAATAGTTGATAATGTTATACTTGAGTAATTGAAAACATATTTCTCTGGAGATTTGGGAAAAGAAGTTTGCCTCTCGGTCTGTTTTAAACTTTCCATTAATTTCAAGATCACATCATCAGTACGATTTTTGCTAATAATATCAATGTAATCTTTGAATTTGAAACCTTGATCTTCTGACAAATCAAATAATGTATGTGAACGTAATGAGATATTTCTTCCTTACCCCTTGATTAGTACGTAACCCCATTTGTTACTTTCCTCGAATCCATTTTGGTGATGCAAAAAATTTTTTCTAGCCTCCAATAGACATAAATTTTCCATATAACTATATATCCGAATGTACAGCTTAAGTAAATGATTTCATCGAAAAGAAAATTTTCTTCGCTGAATTCTCTTTTTCTCATTCAAATATTGATTTTTTGTAGTGTTCATTCTAACTAAGCAAGAATGGAATAATTTTGGTACCTCAAACTTCACATGTCTTCCCCTAAGTTGTTCCAATAATCATTACTGGAATGATGGAAATCTCAATGGTATAACTTGTGCTCTATGTCATTAATGTGTAACATAATGATGCAATCAATTAGAGAAAAGTGAATTATCGAGCGGATCAATGACGCATAAACCCGTACGAGCAGTCCAGAGTCCTTATCGGTTATGCTTCCTCCTAGCCCCACCCGTTATGTCCAGAACACCAATCAGCCTCAGAGATATGAGTCATTTATTTCAAACATACTGGGTTTATATACCAACCAAACAGACTACACTGTACCATAAAATAGGAAACAACATTTGTACAAGATTTAGCCAGATGTGGCTGTGAATGTGCGAGATAGTAATTGATAGACCAGGCATAACTCAAGAATAGTAAATTGTATAATAATATTTCATAGGTCAAAATAAAGCTTATAATAAGAGGAACACGAATATGAATAGTTTAGTTATTTAACAAGTATACGATAAAAATATACGTATTGCAATTTTCCATAAATTGATCCCCAAAGTTAGCATTCATTATTCTCATCGGGATATAACACTCAATAACTAAAGTGTCCTTTTCTCACAAAGCTAATTATATATATTACTGATATACATCGATCATCTACCGTGGTTCCATTACTTATTTCAAATCTTAACAGTTAGTTAGTAGTCTGTGGATAATCATTTGTAGCACATGTGCTCGTTTGTTAAAAGATCTAATAGTAGTAAATTTAGTGGTTCCGATTCCATATGAGAAACACTGTGAGTATGAAATACCCAACAATACTTGTTTGACTTATAAATATAACTTTAATAGACAATTGAAAATACTGTATCGTATTTTTGTCTATTGATAAGAGTAACCATTTTTTGTACGCATTAAGCAGTCGATATTTACAGTAAAACGTTGCTAATCATCAGATCACATAATGCTATGTAGTCATTGTAATAATTAATTTCAAATACTGTCACGGAATTAGACCTAAACGTCTAACAGTAGTAAAATATTAATCCCCTTCCATACTTTTTTCGCTGTTAGTTCACGACTGAGCACATAACCGACTAACTTTAAATACATAAAACAAAAGACTTAATTGTATTTCAGTATTTTCGAGCTCTATTTGTTCAATATATTTATTGAAGCTGTTGACTTCTTTGATGATTTATTTTTTATTCCATCTTTATTTTAAAAAAAAACACATCTCGATAGTTGAATTCATGAGTCTATGTAAGCTAGACCACCATTGAAAACCTGGAACTACCGGACGGCCGTTTCGTCCTAGTATGGAACTCCTTAGTAGTGAGCATTCACCATCCTGCATGAAGGACTCGAGCCCAGAACCTTCGGTCTCGCTCGAGATCGCTTAACCTCCAGACCACTGGGCCGGAATCCAACGGTGTTAATGTCTAATTTCAATCGATCCATGTTCTTGCGCAACCATTCATCTCTTGTCTGAGATAGATACCTGTCTCCACCTGACACAGATTCGACCCATGAACTCAACTACTAAAATTACAACTAGTCCCACAAAACCACTATTCCGATCATAACCATCATGTGCTTACTAATGACCGGCCTTAAGAAGATTTTCTGGAGCTCTAATGAGAAGCCGTAACCAGTGGAGTAGGATCCATATCGGGTAGAGATAGGTATCTATCTCAGACAAGAGATGAATGGTTGCGCAAGAACATGGATCGATTGAAATTAGACATTAACACCGTTGGATTCCGGCCCAGTGGTCTGGAGGTTAAGCGATCTCGAGCGAGACCGAAGGTTCTGGGCTCGAGTCCTTCATGCAGGATGGTGAATGCTCACTACTAAGGAGTTCCATACTAGGACGAAACGGCCGTCCGGTAGTTCCAGGTTTTCAATGGTGGTCTAGCTTACGTTGACTCGTGAATTCATTTATTAAATTTACTACAATCTTCACAATACCTCATTCTAAACATAAACGTTTTTTAAACCAAATACTTAAATTCTCGCTCTTTATTTCCGTCATTAACATTCATGACTAGAACAAATTGCAAAAATTGATAAGTTTTGAAGATATTTTTCATTATGAAGTGATAACACCTGTGAACATAGAGAGCTCTGGACAAAACTTTTACCATGTTTGGGGAATCCTCAGTAATATGCGACCACATCAGGAATAGATTTCAGTAATCTTTCTTCCTAGGATATCTTTATATTAACCATACTGAGATGAAAGTAAATGGATCGTATTTATTAATATCAGTCTTTTCCCGACACAACGCTCTCTGTTGAAATGTTACAAAGTAAGGCAAAACTGCCGTAAAGTTCCCCGTTGATTTTAATGGTTTTCCAGCTTCTTTTCTTCTTATATCAAAATTGAAATAATCTAGTTTGAATCCCATGCAGGGCGTCAATACTCTCAAATATAAAACACGAATTGTTAATGTGCGCCAATAGATATAAAATCCAGACTCATGGTTTTCAGTCGATTACACACAACGACCACAAGTAAAACATTGTTTTCTACGAAAGTTTAGCATTGTAAATTTATTCATGCACGTATTTGAATGTATTTCACTACTTTCGGTGGGAAAATAAAATTGAGTGAATTATGAGACGTTTTCTACTGTTGAACACAATTAAACAAAGTCGTAGTTAGTCTTAAACTAGTTAAAATTTATACGAATTTTTTAACGTAAACTTTAAACTTTATATCTGAAAAATAATAGATTTGGAATTAACTCAATAAAGCACCAATTTTAAAGTGAAGTATCCAAATTATTCAATATTACACTATTTCTCAGTTCCGATTAAAATCTGTCTACTAAGTTGAAATGTGTCCAAGAGTTTTAATGATTCGAGGTGATGATAAAAATTGGATGAAAGCGATGTAATATGAAATTATGTTCGAAGACATCTGCAACCAATTATATCAATAATTTGAAACATAACCTTAGTGTTGGAAGGCTAAATAAGTCAATATAACCTTATGAGTAATGACCAATTTAATATAGTGGTAACTGGAAACGTAGCAATTCCTCCTAGAAATATTATGATAATCCAAACATAGTATCAACATCTGTGAAATTATTTACTCTTAACTCTAATATCGTAGTGAACAGTCCACCGGTTTATTAATACTGAGACCTAGATAAAATGAACTGATTTTCTTTTTAAAATACGGATTATATATTTTATGAGGTCTACTTTCCTATTTACCTCTATTTCCTTAATTCTTCGAGATCACTGAATTAATACAGTGTAAGAATGGTAAGTTGTACTTCCTAGCTTGACGTTACCTGCTCATTGTAACATCCAATCACTAATTAGGATGCTATCAGTTCAAAGACTGTTTGTTTAGTCGAAAAAGCTAATTTTTCTATAAATTTCTTTCGTATTTCGTTTTTATTATGATATTTTTGGGAGAATATTTTTCCGTTCTTAAACCGTAAAATTTATTGTTCGGAAAAATCTGTTATATCTAATTTCATAATGAAGCCTTAACCCGCCTATTTGAAAGCAGAAGTAATAACATATATTATGCAAGAATTGGATTTATTTAGTTCTAAATTTCTCAAAGTAAACAGGTAGCTAGATATTTGCACAAACGTCTCTGAAATCCAACATTCAATAAACCAAGTTTATTGATAAAAAATATTGCAAAATTAGCTATTTACAATTTCTGTAAAAATTATATCCAAAGTCAAGTTGTACAAACCACATCATGTCGTATGATTTTCCTCAGTAAATAAGATCCAAATTTGATCAAGCTATGGTTAGTAAATTATTCACTTAAAGATTGTCACTTATGAAAAATTGTTTTTTTCCTATATTAGTTTGATCACCTAAATATTTGCATGAACTACAAACACAATTATTTAGTTATTGGTAATAAAGTTTGCTGCGTAATTTTGGTCTTCTGTCTCTGCATAACTCGACTGATCGAGCTTTAGAAATGAGCGTATTCAGTAGATTGAACCCTTAAGTACAATGAGTCTGTAGAAACGTTTTTTTAAGAAAGAGTAATAGGTTTTATTGAGAACCTGATTAATCTTTTTGCCAACTTTTATCCTTTCAAGTTCATTTTGATTTTCAGAATGAATAATCAAAAGTTCATAACAGAATTATAAAAAGGCAACCATATTATTATTACATTTAATTATTATATTTAGGATTAAATTATCATTACATCATTATTATATTCATTACTCTGCGTTTATGCGTATTCATTAATTACTTTAATCACACTAACATCATCTTTACTTGAATATTTTCTTTCCTTTTTAACCTCCTTTTTATTGTCTTCTCTCTTCTTTACTGATCTGCCCATTTCATTTTTTGGGGCTTTTCTATTTATGGCCTCATCATAATTAGTTTTTCTATCAATATAATTATTTTCATTGTCAGGTTTTGGTTTATCATTTCGATCCCTACCGTTTTCCTTTCGACGTTTTTCATCACCATTTTTTAATTTCCTTTTTTCATAAACATCATTTGACATTTCTCGAACATTGATCATTGGTTTCTTGTAAACACGTTTAGAATTTTGATAATTTTTATAATTAAATTTATTATAATTTTTATTATCATAATCCGGTTTACGCATATCATCAATAAGTTGATCATAATATTTCATTGTTACAGACTTATCGTTATCCTTGTTTGAAGACCTAGTAATGTGATCATCGATATGATGTTCATTATCAATATGATCTTGATCAATGATATGATGGTGATCATCGATGTAATGGTGATCATCGATATGATGTTCATTATCGATATGATCTTGATCAATGATATGATGGTGATCATCGATGTAATGGTGATCATCGATATGATGTTCATTATCGATATGATCTTGATCAATGATATGATGGTGATCATCGATGTAATGGTGATTATCGATATGATAGTGATCATCGAAATGATAGTGATCATCGATATGATGGTGATCATTAGATTTACTCGATTGATAACCTACTTGTCTGTTATTATTGTGATATTTTCTAAGGTTATCATTAGTATAAACTGTCTTTGATACTTTGTATTGATTATATCCAAATTTCTTTAATTTATGTACATTAGGTTTATACTTATATGTCGGTTCTCTTTGTAAGCGTTTCCTGTAATGGGAATTTGTAACTTCAGGCATCTTGTAATTGTATTTACTATACATAGAATTTGATTTCTTTTTCTTAACTGTGTTATAATCTGGCTGGGCATATTTAATATTATCATAAAAGGATGTCTGATAATTGTCATTTTTATAACTTTGATCATCTTTTTGACTGGCAGGTGAAGTTTTATCATTTGTATTTCTGTCATAATAATATAAATCTTCCGCCTGTTGTTCACTTTTCAATATTTCATTATTATAATTATCTCCATAATTCTCATATGATGATGATGACGATGATGATGAACTGTATTCAGTGGGTACCACCGATTGCGAATTATAATTAGGATAATAGTAGTAATTATATTTATCGTTATATTTATCATAATAAAATGGTATTTTGTAAGGTCTATAAATATGTTCCCCCCACAATACTATGAATGGATAATCCAATGAAGCATAAGCCCCAAATGATACTGGTATAAGTATTTTACCGCTTATTACGTTTGACATGCATTTTGTATAATCAACAGAAACAAGCAAAATAATGAATATATTGAAAAATAAACAACTTATCACCATGTTTACTTTATCCATTTCTCTTAATTTTAATAACTTCCTTTTTATAACAAAACTGTGAAATCGAATTCATAATATTTTACAGTATATATATTTATCATAAAATTATTCAATATTACGCCTCTATTACATCATAATTGTTATAAATGCTTATGCACTTTAAATGATGCCTTTTACTACATCGATTGTTTGTGAAATGTACCATTACATGAGAGTATGCTTACACACAGATACAAATATAATGATAAATGAAGTTTACCACCAAAAAGTGCATTATTAGAAGAATCAAACTGACAAGAAAATGTTTATTTCTATTTATTATAATCCTATAAATTAAAGCAATTAAATTTTTCCTAAAAGACCAAATTAATAGCACTGGAGATTAATATTGAGTTACTAACTCTCATAATAAAGATTAATATGTGTAACATGGCACTAACAACTTGCAAAACAATACAGTTTAATTATGAGGTTTGTAAAGTGGTTCGTAGTCTAAATTACGGCTTTCCTAGTTAGACAAACACATATCCAAGAAGTACTAAACAGTGGCTTTGTTGTAGTTTGGCATTTCTTGAAGTATACTCACACGACACCATCAGGAATTGAACAGAAATTCCTCAATTTTCACGGTTATCGCGTTAATTTGAGATCATTAATTTGTTATACACTGGTTCATACCACTTGAAGAACTCGATTTTCTCAAATTAGATGGCGACTAAAATCAGGTCTTAAGCAAAATATCCCTCATGTTTAATACTTAGAATAAATATTTGAAGAAATACAAATACAGAATCGGGTATTTAGTGATATACTATTAATTTACGTGGTGATTCTTCAGATGGGAGGATATAAAACCCATGAAGAAAGGTTTACATGTCATAAAATGCTGGCAGATAATTGATGATTATTTCTTCATCGTCTGAACTGAAGCATCTAATGCATAATAATTTACTAGAACAACGGGATCACTGTTTTCAATCAAACACTAATGGTAGATTTGACTAAACTCAAGAAAAGCTGTAAACAATACCCTATATAGTTTCTTTAGTGGACTGCAAGCATATATATTTAATGATGGGAAATAATCCATTAAGTAAAACACAGAAACAATAGAAGCTACCATTATAGTAAAAATTAAAAGTATTCTATTGTATAGAAGATCCATACAGAATAATATCGTTGTACAAATGCTAGTAAACAAAAAAAATACAAAAACATTTCTAAAAATAGCATGACTGATGTATCTTCTTGATAAGAATTATAGTAATTTATTACTCTGAATCAACGAAGACTACACCTAATATAATCATCAGATAATTTCGTTAAATAAAATGCCCGTGTAAACCACTTTGTACATGCTTGCTTATCTTACTTTGTGTAGTGTATGGTGAATATGGGGTTAATATATTTCGGTCAGTCATGATCAACGTAGGGTCTGGTGCATCTGCGTGCGTTGTCCCAGTTTACCAGACCACATTGGCAGAAGATAAACTTCGAAAAATATTACAAAGAATTTCAAGTAATGTAGCAACAATGATAATGAAACAGACAGCATTGAGAATACGTTTCAAAAAGACGGTGATGAAGTGTGTATGAAGAAATACTGTAACTCAAGATCTATAGAAAGATAATGATCGACCCCGTTTCTGTCACTGTAAATGATTTTGTTAAATGCCGCTTGACCACTAGTGGTGGTTATCGAGCGAATACAAGTTAGGTGGCCTGCATCTACCGACGTGATTCAGAGAAGCAACCAGTGACTCCATGGACTGTTACTATTGTCTTGGTTTGGTCTACCCTAGCTTGCTTACAACCTATGGATTAACAAAATCTGCAGCCGAATCAGAACCGATAACCACTTAGAGTGGGACTAGAAAAATGTCGTGCTACAAAAACACCACCGTGTGTTTACAGAAAAACTGGGAGAACGTACGAAAGCCAAGGCATTACTAAACCTCAAACCTGGAGCTACTCCTTTTTTTATTTACCTAAGAGACCTGTGCGTTATGCTATCCTTCCTGTAGATGAACATAAATTAGAACGACTTCAAAAGACGGGTGTTATTGAACCTGTAAACTTCTCAGATTGGGCTGCAACAATAATGGGGATCAAGAAGTCTAATGGAAGCGTTCGCTTGTGTGCAGACTACTCCACGGACTAAATGAAGCTTTAGAGTCTCAACAGTATCCTTTACCCCTACCAGAAGATCTCTTCGCCAAGCTGAATGGTGGCAGGTGTTTTGAGAAACCGTATTTATCAAACGCATATTTACAAATCCCTATATCTGATAAAAGTAAGAATCTCCTGACGATTAACACGCACAAGTATCTCTTCCGATATAACCGACTACATTTTGGAGTGAAGACGGCACCCTATATTTTCCAGCAAATTATGGATACCATGTTACAAGGTATTCCAGGAGCGGCAGCTTATTTAGAAGATACCATAATTATGGAAGCAGATAAAATGAACTTGCAGAAGAAACTGGATCAGGTCCTAGGACGCATAGCCTAATATGGTTTTCGGTGGGAAACGACCAGATCAAAAAAAAATTAAAGCTGTGAAAACTTTGCGTAGACCTAGAGACATCCCTACCCTACGATCTTTTTTGGGATTGGTCAGGCATAATGGTACCTTCCTCCCTAATCTCCATCGTCTGCGTGCCCCATTACACCATCTGCTAGAGAAGAATACAAAATGAGATTGGTCGGCAAACTGTCAAGCATCTTTCGAGAAAATCAAGCAACTCTAAAATTCCGATCTCTTGTTGACGCGTTATGATCCTTCCTTATCAATGGTGGTTGCTTCAGACGCTTCGAACTATGGTATTGGAGTAGTCATCTCTCACATTTTCCCTGATGGGTCTGAAAAAGCATTGGTCCACGCCTTCAGGATCCTGGGAAAGACTTTATGCAAATTTCGCCGGTTCGATTCAAAGTGAAATGTTTCTAATTATTGTGGATGCATTTAGAAGTGGACAGAAATCTCTAGTATGCCCAATTGTACAGCCTCAGAAAAAATCCACAGGTTGTCTACTTTGTTCAGCTATTTTGGAGTCCCAGAGACTTTGGTGGCTGATAATGGCTCTCACTCCGTTGCAGAATCATTGAAGTATATTTGTTGCATAAATTGAATAACACATCTACGTTCTCCGCCCTATCATTCCCATTCGAATGGACAAGCAAAACGTTTTGTCGGCACCTTTAAACGAGCATTACTGAAAGAAGGTGAGGGGACAACTAGACAGGTAATCACGAAATTTTTAACGGCCTACAGAACTAATCCGAATCCAACTGTCTTAGATGGAAAGCTCCCTACTGAAGTCATGTTTGGAAGATGTATTCGAACTATTTTCAACGTCATGTTGCCACCCGAAATAGTAGATGGGTATAGACCAAATCTCAGTATCCGAAGTTTTAACGTTGGAGATAAAGTGTTCGTTAAGTCCTACCTCGGAAAGAATCGATGGAAATCGGGAAAAATCGTACAAATATTGGGAAGCGTTTTGTACCGAGTTCGATGGACTTGCGACACATGTATCAGACACACAAAAATCCTTAAACATAAAGGAATGATGCACATTTGAGACAATCAGCTGAATCTTTCACTCGAGTTAATCTCAGATACATCAACGATACAGTCGTCAGGCTACAAGTGTACGCAAGGAAGAAATGTTAGGACGGCTTCTAAGAACTATGACGGAGCCTCCAGAGGCCCTAAAGGAGCCTAAGATTTTCCATCCAGTCAGAATGTAATGGAGCTTTCTAGAATATTAACGTGGCATGCTGCTGTTGGACGATAGCATAACATGTCTCTGTGGATCGACTGAATTATAATTTTGATATAACAAACGCTAATAACTATAAATATCCATGATTTTCCTGCACATTTTGATTCTTACCCAACAAGAACTCCTCCAGTCTTGTCTTCTGATTTGAAACTGTGGTGCTTCTATAAGTTCGAGTGCCGTAGGTGTATACCGTATTCCACGTTAATCAAGCAGCGAACGTAACACAATAAACATAGCGTTATAACTTGTGGCCTGTGTGCCCTGTTAATGTATAACGTAATAATACCGCCAATTAGAGAGCAGTGACTTATCGATAGAACTAGTGATGCATAAAACTCGTACGAGCTGTCTAGAGTCCTTATTGGTCCTGCTTCGTGCCAAGCCCAGCCAGTTAAGTTCAGAACACCAATCTCAGCCTCGCGATGTGAATCGTTTATTTCAAGCATACTGGGTTTGTATACCAACTAGAAAGACCACATCGTACCAATAAAATAGGTAACAACATTTATACAAGATTTGGCCAAATGTGGTTGTGAATTTGGGAGGTAGTAATTAATAGACAGGGCATAATTCAAGAATGGTAAATCGTATAATAATATTTCATAGGTCAAAATGAGGCTCATAACAAAAGGGACATGAATACGTATAATTTAGTTACTCAGCAATTATACGATAAAAAGATACGTATATCCATAAATGGATCCCAAAAGTTACCATTAATTATGCTCATCGGGATATAACACATGGACTGTCGAGATAGGCGGTGGTTATGCATACTCAATACTATCTACAAACCACTTTAGTAGATGAAAATTCACAGCCTCATCAACCAATCTCCCATATCAGCATGCTCTATAAAACCTCAAAATCGCTTACCTTAGTCGTCTCACAATACGTGAACAGTACTTCGAAGTCACCTATGATTAAAACACCTACAGCCAACACATATCTTTTACATTCATAGACTGTTTCACAGATATTGAGCAACACAAAGTGAACTGCTGATCATTTTACTTACTATTTCTGTGATTGAACAGTGTCTAAACTTGCGAAATATAGCTAAAATATGTACGTATTAAAACCGCATTGCCCGACAGGAACACATGAAGCTGACTTCCTGAATCCAAAACTGCTGGAACTCAGTGACAAACTCTCGGCGTTTTTGATCAAACAATCCTCATAGGCAGCAGTAATTAGTATGATGGTCAGTAATGATGGGATATTTCAAGGATTCTGTCAGTCACCAATCGGTCCTACTTTGTACAAAATAGGTATCAATTGAGTAATGTTTTCCTCCTTAATGTGTACTCAAGAGACTAACCGAAAACCCATTGTAACAATCTTTTTTAGACCGATTATCAGACTGAACTTTTAACTTATTTGATTAGGTAAATGTAATGCTTGTAATGTTACAACGTGAATTAGTCACTACTTATCGGTCCAGATAATTCCTGAGACAGGGAAATAAACAGTGTACAATTTTCTGTGCACTCATTAGACAAGTTATGGATTCATTTATAACAAGATCGCTTAATGATCGGCAACCAAACTTTGAACAAGCACTAACTACATATCGAATATCCACAAATTTCTCTTTGTTGTAAAATTAATCGACATCGGTAATTAGATTAACGAATATGTCGTATGAAGTTTTACTTCATGTACATTTAAATGCTCAAGATTAACTCAGTAAATATATACTGTGGTAGTTTCACTGCTATTGGTGATACTCTACCTTATCGAAACAGTGCAATTCTATCAATCCACTTTCCTAGAAACTGATATTTTACTGCTTGATAAGACATTGGTCCGACGCATTAAGGTTATTGTAAATTCCTAAGACTTACTAGGATAGTCAACTGAATTATTCTAGTCTGTAATCGTTCTTAGTATTTTATTCCTCTGTTCAGTAGTTAGAAATAAAGTCTGGATTGCCTCTAAAAATGAATAGATTTGAAAATATCGCAAAGTAGTGAATTCTCTACGGTTACAGATTCATTCTTCTATGATTATGAATATCAGTGGTATCTAGGTTTAGGAATACTCGTCTCCAAAGATTTGAAATTGACTAAACCCATCAAACCTTCAGAGTAGTATTTATCTTAGCTTTATACATGAGACAGATCTGCAGCAAATGAGATGATAAACATGCGCAGGACTGAAGGATTTTCTCGTCTTTTGAGCCTCAATGGTATCCAGTTATCTTCAAAAAAAACTCTTTCTGTTCATCAGTCTCAAATCATTTGATTATAATCAAATGTATATATAACCACTTATGCAAATATTTCATCAAAGGAAAGTAAAGTTTGTACTTTAAATGGTTTCACTAAACTATGAATGAACACCTGATACAAGGAACCATCACTGATTAATTTGTCTGCGTCATCAAGTTCGAATTCACTGACGTAAAATACAATGACATCCTTCCGGAAATCCGGAAAACTAACTACTTATCCAACAATTCATTTATTGTTAAAGTAGGCTCGTATAACGCTCGTCAAAATGTCTAATTATCACCCAGTAGATAAGTGTTCATTATGTACAAGTGTCAAAGCCCGTATTATTTTATTCATATTAAGTTAGCGGGTGTCATTGCCCTCTCATAAACGTGATCGTTGAATATTTGAATTCATAAACTACTGTTACATTTACAAAACCAATATTCACATTTTCTGCAATCATATTTCTTACGAATTACGAAGTAGTTTGATGAAACTGTTAATAATTTCTATTTTCTCACCTAAATTCATAAAATTTACCCAAACGACCCTCAATCAGTAATCTACAAGTTTAAAATTGCCAACACCCACTTCATGTTAAGGATCCAGTTAATATAGTTACTCCATGTATAAACACGCTTAAAATTGAGCACATAAACTTGTACCAGATAAACGAGTTGATATTGACTGAAATTCTGTTACATACTATCAATATAATCTACATGACTAACATAAGACTTACAAACGAAAAACTATACTAATTAGTCAGAAGCCATCACTTGTAGTTAAGTTATACGTAAAACCAGATAATCATTAAATATGTTAGTTTTAGAAGTATATTACTTCCGTCAAAAGGGAAAATTCATACATAAAAACCCTAAAGAAATATAACACCTAGTTTCCAAATAATATTCTTCGCTAAAAACTTTTCTAATTGCAAAACACCTCGAGAATTCAGCCTAATACATTTAGAGACAGAACATTTCTTCAAGAGATACTTCATAAGCGCTAAGTGGTAATTGGTCTTAATATCTCAGACTATTATTTACTTTTCACGACTGATAGAAGTACAAAGACGTTCGTAAATTAGTACTCAAAAGTTGATAAGCTTCCTGCTTTTTATTCGACAACTAACCGTGATCACTTTGTAGTAACTTACAAATATGACAGCGATGTATTAACATTGAACGCATGGTGAAAAATACAATAGGAACACAAGTCAAAATGATTATAAATCGTCTTTACACTTGTCTTAGTGATGAATTACACATGTCAATAATCAAACTTCTCGGGTTTTTTTTTAAGTGAGTGGGTACGATTAAATCTTATGATTATATGAAGCCACTTGCTGAATAAATCAAAACTTTCTAACAAAAAAAAACTTTTAAAAATATTTTACACAAATCATGAGTTATTGATCCCATATCATGATTGTCTTAATATCTGCAGAGTGGAACAATTCTCGTCCAAGAGCATATAAATATGATGGGGCATGAGTGCCAAGATTTGTCAAAAATAAACTGACAAGACCTGAAGGTATAATTTCCCATTTTGGAACCCAAACAACCGGACCCTCGCTAGGTTGATGATAAACTAACCCTTGGTTAATTAGTTTCGGCTCATTTGGCGGTAAAATAACTAATGGGCTATCCAGCCAATCTGGCGAACTATCACTGGGATTAGCAGTAGGCTGTACAGAAAATGATGGTGTTGATCGAGAAGAGTGCTTGAATGGAATAGGAGAGAGTTTGTGATGCAGCAAACAAACGTAGATCTGAAAATTAAAAAAGGGTGCCGTTTGATTAAGTGCACATTAATATTGACCTGTCTTCAAAATAAATCTTTGCAAACCAAACTCATCCTACAATGAGCATATTCTCCAGTTTAATTTATTAAGCTATGAAACCAGTAAAGACGTTTAGTGTCTTATCACTAAGCAGTGATTCACCATAATGAATAATACTTTAATTCAGTTAGTCCATACATTTGAACTTTACAACAGTTAGCAATGAAAGATGTAACATCACAATTCATGGACATCATATTAACCAGTGAAGACGCAATAGACGGTATTGACTAAATTTACATCAGAAATATTTATGTACGACTCGACGAGTGCGAAAATATTCATCAACTCTGTATATACCACTGTAAAGTGTGATCGATAAACGAACTCACCAAAGATAAAGTAAAACGCCCACCATCACACTAACTTTCTATGACTGTCTTGTTTATTCACCAATCACAAATTTATGTTCATTATAAAACAATATTCGCCTTGTTGACTCATTTTTCCTATCCTCTAGTTACTGTTCGGTATGTTATGTCTGTTTTTCCCTGTGTTAGTGGACTGTACTGTTTATTTTGTATACTAACGGTGTTAATTTGTTTTAGAAACAGATGAAGTTTATCAAGCCAAATAGCTTACTTGTTCTGACTTTGGCTAAACCAAGAATCTGTGCTCGACAGTCTAGAGAATAGCTTAGAGTTATTTAATTTATTTATTTGAACACATAAATATTGGTGTAAGGGGGCACCAAATATATATGCGCCACACAAAACAATGAGAATTTAAAGAGAAGGAAAAAAATGTAAGGAACGTAGGGAATTATTAAAAAAAATGAGGGAAACGAAAAGGTACAATCAGAGGAAATCTTACAGTTCAGGAAGAAGCAACCACTCTTTACGAAGAAATTAAAAGAAGCTTACAGCAGGATCGCCACCGGCTTCTATTCTGAGCCATATCTGATAACGTCTCTAGCCACTGTGTTACACCATCTCTCGGACCGTGTAGGAAATTGCTTCCTACAACCACTATATAAAAACATTTGAGTGGAACGCCTATTCAAACTTCTTAAAACATTAACAGGCGTTAGTTAAGCAATAATTATACAATCCCTATGTTAAGTATTCCCATTACATTAAAACACATGCCCCTCATCACGGCTCTATACTAATATATAAGTTTTATAATTAAAAATAAAATCAATACCAGATAAATGGCGGTTGGTCAATTTGACAGTGTTTTCTGTGAAATAGTAATCAGATAGAAACTTGACAAATGTAAAGCTAAATCGAAAAGCACAATCGCATAATCCGTTGATCATAGAGATTGATTAGGTAAAAATAGAACAATCGAATATAAACATTTAATGTTATTCGTAAAACTAATAATATAGAATTCCTAAAAAGAGTACAAGGAAAACTAAGTAACCAGATTATTAAGTTAGATAGATCACGTAAAATACAGTAAAATAGAATTGGAAATTTTGAAAAACCTAGTAACTACAGAGAAGGCCATGATAAATCAAGAGGATGGACAAACCTTTTCGGTGCACGAAGATTAGGTTTATTGATGTACGCACCTATTGCTGCTGCTGTTTGTAAAAGATGGAGTCTGAAAATATATGGACCAAATTTGATGGAATTCTATAAATAGCTTTGAAACATATATTTTTATAGGAATGGCTACTTCCGTCTGTTAAATGCGACAAAAAGAAGCCTCTGAAGACTCTAGTACGACCAAAGGTGAGGAGTTCGCTTTCCTTCTCGCAATGCTCTCATATGGCTACGCGTATACAACTTATGCCAAGGAAGTGCTACCCACTGCCTTCTCGTAAGGGATGGTTGCTTACTAAATTTAGAGAACGAAAAGCAAACGTCCAACGCTTTAACCGCGCACCTAAAATTTGTTCAAAGGATGATGAGATTGCTCACATTACTAATGCCTACGTGAAAATGCATATCCGGTGAAATCCATCCATGAATATGCAAAAACCAATCCTCGGGCAAAGTATGATAGAGTAGAAAAGAAAACTTGATTCTTATATTTACGTCTCAAAGGAGACAATATTGTTGGAATAATTAATCACAGATTAAATTCAGCATTATTTATTTATTTTAACACATAGATATTGGTACAAGGAGGCACCAAATACATATGCGCCACACATCTCATTTGATATGTGTGAGGGCTGTGATACTGCCCGGATGCCCAGACCGAAGCAGGTGATTTTCTTAGGGCGCCACACCCCGAGCCTTTGACCTGAACGTCTGATCCACAAGGCAGTGGAGCATCGTAAGGAGATGCAGTCCCATGGTAGCCGGTGACCAACGATTGGTTCATACGCCATTTGTTCCTTCAAGATACTGGAGCCCATGTACACCATTGATTTGGGATCCGGTTAAAGCGCCGGACATTCGCTTTTCGTCCTCTCATTTTCGTAAACAACAACCCCGCCACGAGAAGGCAGTGAGTAGGACTTCCCTGGCAGAGGCTATATACGCGTGACCATGTAAGAGCATTTCGAGAGGGAGAGTGGACTCTCCCCACTCTCGGCCGTACCAGTGCATTTGGGGGCAGCATTGAAAGTGACCTATCTAGCAGCAAAACTAACTAGTTTGCGAAACGAACTGCTCACTCAAACAAACCAAAATCGAAAAGTCCTCTTTTCTCAGTAGCTCCAACTGCATTTACCAATTCACATGTACGTGCCCAAGCACATACATTGGAAGGACTGAAAGAAGAGTTCATGTTCGCACTTCTGAGGATGTTCCAAAGAACTTGAGGCTGCGAGGGACTAGGGCTCTCAACAGTGCAATTGCTCGGCATTTACTTGACACTGGGCATATCATTGACATTCCGCACGCTTTTAAAATTACCAACAGACAATGAAGTACGACTGCTCTTCAGTTCGCTGAAGCGATCGCGATATAAAACTTAAACCGCATTTATGTATTCAAAAAGAGACATTAATAAACTTAATATTATCCTGGTAATCCATTTTTTGGTTATTTGGGTTATTTATTCTTAAAATATTTATTTTGTGTTATATTCCTCCCCCATTACCGAATTTTTAAACCAACTATTTATTCATACATTTCCGCCCACTGATCTTAAATTATGTTAACTTTTCAAACTCTATTCAATTATTACGTAACCTATCTTATCAGTTTTATTCCATGAATCCTTCATTACCTTTAAAATTATCATACAATTTATGAACTCAACTAAACTATTACACCACCCATCCTGAACTGTTTCCTTATTACTAACACCAGTTAACATCTAACCTGTTCTTGCATATACATATATATAGTTATTATTATAAACCTTTGTCATTCCAGTTATTTACATTCGTTTATGTCAATTGTTTCACACTATTTCTTATCTCAATGTAAAACTTTAATACATATTTGGTTGTAAGCAGCTGACGAGAAACCTGGAACTACTATGAATTCATACTATTCTGCATCAATATTTTTTCTTGCTTTATTTAGATCGTGGAATGAGTCCATATTTATCCCTATCTTTAAAAATGGTTCACGTCGTTTCTGTAACAATTATTGAGGGATAGGTCTACTTTCGATCGCGTCCAAACTATTGGCTTCCGTTATACTTCGTAGACCCGAGAAAGATTGACCCTCGAGCTAGTTTTCGTTCCGGCTGAGAATGTATTGATCACATATATACCCTCTGCCAAATGCTAGAATACCGCCGTACTGATTGCAGGCCAACAACCGTTGTGTTTACTGACATTGGGGCCACCGTCGATTTGTCAGACAGGACTGTCCTCTGATATTGTTTATTAATATCTTGGATGCTTCATAATACAAATGCCTTAGGCAGAGGGAGGGCATACAACCACCTTTCTCCATTGTTCCATTTAAGCAGTGGAGTTAGGCAGAATTGCCCAATCTCACCATTTCTCTTCGAATTCGCTATTGATGAAGTTCCGGAATCGGCTCTGATGGATGCGGGTAATGGTGGTGTAGACCCGTTGCCTGGAAAAAACTTCTCGACCTTGAGTATGTGGATGATGTTGTATTACTGTGCGACGATATCCAGACCATACAAACCGCACTTAATCAGCGTCCATAGGTATGGTATGCGCTTTGCACCTTCGAAGTGCAAAGTACTTCTACAAGACTGGTAGGACCCTGACACTGCACTTACCCTGGATAGTGGGCAGACAGTGGTCGAAAAGTTCGTGTATCTGGGTAGCAGCATAAGTGCTGGTGGTGACGTGAGTGATGAGATCAATGCACGTATAGTGAAAGCCAGAGCGGCTTATGCCAATCTGGGACATCTTTGGCACCTTCGTGATGTTAGACTGACTGTAAAAGGTCGGATCTATGACTCATCAGTGAGAGCAGTTTTAATCTAAGTTTGTGAAACTTGGCCCCTTCGAGATGAGGATGTTAGACGACTCTGTGTTTGATCGTCGCTGTCTTCGAAGGATTGCTGACATACAGTAGCAACACCATGTTAGTAATGCAGAGGTTCGGCATCGTGTGTTCGGGCACAGAGACGATAATCCAATTGGTGTCACTATCTTGAAGCATCGACTTCGGTGGCTTGAATATGTCCTACGAATGTCGTCCCAGAGAATCCCACGTCGTGCATTAGTTGCCGACGCTGGGACTGGTTGGAAAAAGCGGGTCCGAGAGATGGTGCAATACAATGGATAGGGAAGTTATCAGACACAGTTCAGATAAGAAGTCAATGGCGACCCTGCTGTAACTTTTCTTTACTCTCTTCATAAAAGTGAACGTAACTTCTTTTACCAAGTGAATTCTTTTCCGCTGAATGTTTCCCAACTGAACTGCTTCTTTCACTAATAATATAGTTATATTATTGTTATATCACTTACACACTAATTTCTATTGATTGTTATTTTTCCTTTTTATTATACTGACTTTATTTTATCCCTTCACAATCTTATTTATGTTGTAAGGTGCATATATATTTGGTGCCCCCTTGTACCAATGTTTATATGTTCAAATAAATATAAATCTTACTATTCTCTTTTCTCCTTTAATTAACTAAGACAGCTGATGTTCAGAACTACTAGTTCTATAAATAACATTAAATGTTTATACTTAATTGCCTTATTGTCAGGAAGTGTAAACGGTCGCAATCGACAATATGTTAACTATTGCATAATGTAATCCATTTACAAAGTGTAGATTCGTGTACTCAACTGCGAGCCACGATTAACATGTGAGGGTTAGTCTTTCTACGGGCCTGCTTGGACCGAAGTAAGTGAGGTGATACGCGAATCTGCGATCTGGTAGTTAAAAGTCGGCCTTAACCATAGTAACAATGTGTAGCGAGTCTTTATTATATCAAACAGCTTACCGGGATCGAAAAACTTTTAGCTGCAAGCATAACGCCATAAGTCCCCACTCTAGCTTTTAACGTTCCATCAGGATACACAGCCTGACAGCTAACAATTACCTAGAAGATTAATATGGCGCACAAATCTTACTTTATTTATTCGCGACATTAAGCCAAAAACATGGCTATCAGGGACCAGAATGACATCGACACTATCCTTTGACAGTTCTTCAGCTATTTTATGTCCCTTTTAAAATTAAATAAACTAATCTACTAATTACCAAGTTGTCAGGATAACATTCACAGACTATAACTTTGAAGTTTCTTCCTCTTTTCGCCGCGTGCTAAAAAAATGATATAAAGAATGTAGCACATACACGAAGAAAATGGTGTACTGCCTTGGAATACCCTGAAGTCATGATGAGTTCATCGGAATGGATAAAATCCAGAGATAAATCACCCAAACTTGTTAGACAAGATTTTACCTCAAGTGCCAAATCATCCAGTGTGCTAATGATAGGCTCTAAAATATCATTACGAGAAACTGTTTCATAAGCTTCATTTCCTACAGCAAAAAGGCGGTTCTACAAAAAGGTCAGGTATATATCAACAAACTGTCAAATTTTCCTCAAAGTCTGCATTTTCCCCCATTTGAAACCTAGATAACAAAGATATATCAGCCAGGAAAATACATACTTGAGTGCTTCCTCACGAAAGGCTTTTAGAACTCTCAACGTTGTATTGAGGACTACGGTGTTGTCATCTGAGCATTTACAGAGATCATGTAACTTTCTTATAATTAAATCAATCAAGCTTCTACCATACTGTCAGAATTAAGAAAATTACTTTAGATCACACCAATCTCCTGATTCGACAATGTGTTTCAAAACGTTGATCGTTGAAAGTGATGTTTTAACTGACGAATTTCTAAAAAATGGATAAAACAATATGAAACGCACTACCGATTAATCGATGGTATTTGAAGCATTCGGGGAGTCTTTGGGTGTTTTGTTGATAACAGTGAACAATATACCAAACAAAAATCCGCGACCTATGAAACAAAAAACAAAGTCACCATCATACATTATAACATATCAAGTGAACTTTAATAACCAGTTTTATACTATCGAAACAGCAACATTTTAGTCATGCTACGTATCTGCTATCTGTCATTCACATTCTGTATTACGATGAGTATCATTATTCAAAGCTAAAATTATAATTGCAGGTGTCTTTATTTCCCCTGTGATTAATTACAAACTTTAAGAAGAGGATAAAGTTATGTTAACATAGATCCGGATGAACGAGTCTGATATCTATATAATGTGATAATTATTACCACCTAAAAAATGTGTGTATATGTAGTTGAAATCAAGCTACAGGAATACTGTCTTCAGTATTTTAACTGGCTAGAATTTTCATGAATTAAAAATATAGAGACCCAGAGAGCTAACATAATATAAGCATAAACTGAAAGTTCTACATCTCACAACAGAGTAAGCGTTTAACAGAAGCGACGATAATAAACAAACTGAAAATAGCACTCATGTTGGGAGAGCGAAACAACAAAGTTATAATTTTTGAGGAATAAAGGCCATAGCTTTATAGACTAAGAGTGCTCGATACAATTTTAGTAAGCTGTCCCAATCTCCCGATTTTGGGGAGGCTCCATTAAAAAACTCAGGGGAAATGAGAGAAAAAATACCACTTTTCGTGGTTTGAGGTTTTTCCCAAAAGTAACCTTAGATTTTGCAGGAATTCATTTGCATTCTTCTATAAAACCCCAAGACTTTCCCGTTTTTAAGAAAACATACGAACTTAATTGAGATACCCAGGATCTACTATGCATATAAAATCTTCTTGTTTCTCGGTTAATTTTACAAACGTCACGCAGTTCTAAAACAATTGCACCATTGCTACCAATATCAACATGTCTGTTGTCGCACACACACACACACCCAGGTTGTATAAACGTCTTCCGTGGAACTAAGTGAACGATTCCTAGGAGACAATATAATGTGAACACACAACCACTCTGTTAACCTTATCAAAGTAGTTTTGTCTTGCCAGTGTTTGCAACAACAAACGCAATAGATAAACCAGTTACATAACTGGCTTTGTAGAAACAGCAGAAATAAAGAGCTGATTTACATAAAGTCTGTTCTGCCTTTAAAAACAGGGGATATAGAGTTATTACCATAAAATAACGCAGGGTAACATAAATCGGTAAGAGATAATTAAGGACCTATCACCAATATATAGACTCATGACGTTACGATTCTCATAAAACAGCAACAGAAATCATTCAGATCAAGATAAAAGTAGGAAAACAAAGTAAATTACAATGAGTAGTTAAACACCATTCGAAATAATGGGGTATGATGTAGAGTACGGAATAACATCCTACCTTGAAACAGACCGTTAGTAAGTGACCTCTAGAACCGACCCAAGGTCTTTGTTCAGTTTGAGCGCGGGCAGAACCTTTTCTAACTCGATATTATGAACTGGTTTATCACGTTTGCTTGATAGGTATCATTTATATGAGGACATTACCGTGTGTGAGTAAAGTTATAAAACAACTGAGAGCAAAAGGTAGTGAAGTTACAGTATGATAGTCGTCTTATCAAGAATAATTAACTCATATGTTGTATTGTTCACTAAATATAAAACAATCCAGTTGTAAGGTAAAAGAAAAAGATAAGGTTTATACATTAAGTCAAACTAATGTTATGAGTTGTGGTCATAACCCCACAGATTTTGCATCAGCTAGAAGGCGAAATATGGGATTAGGTTGTAGTGACATACTTTTGTCAACAGAACGCGATTGGTTCAATGAAAACAATTATTATTATAACCAATTGTACCATCGACTGTTTTACTGTGCTCGTTTGTTTAACTATGCTAATGACAGCCATATTGTCCTTCCATTGGACCCCATTATTTTTCGGCGCGGTTAGTGACTCTACGCACGTACTTTTTCCTGCCGATCCCACTTGTACTCCTTTGCACGATCTCGGTATTCTTTCGATACCACGAGATCGCCAACGAATAAACTTGGTTACGAACTACTCTCGCCTTCTGATTTATTTGGTACGCGCTCAACTTGTAGTGGTGTTCATAGTCAATCGCGACTCGACTGCACGCTACAATCGGTGAGCGGAATTTTGGAATACACATCAACATCTGGTCAAACCATCCAAAGAAGTCGATTCGGTGAGTCTCTGTTTAATCTATCCACGCCTGTCGTATATTTTCATATTAATTTTTAATATATAATATACTCGACATGACGGATAGCGACAAAAGCAGCATTAATATTACAGACTCAGAAGTATAGGCTATCTATTTTCGACCTGTACCATTTATTCCCTATGACACAGAGGTTTGGTTTGCTGCAATAGAGTCTCAATTCGAGACTCTTCGCATTTTGAGCCAAAAGCGAAAATACGCTCTTGAATCACTACCCGAGGATGACATCTTAGCTGTACGTGAGGTAGTCCTTAATTCAAATGCCCCTAACGCCTACGATCGCCTCAAAGGGGCTATTCTTCGACATTTCCTCCCATCGAGGGAGGAACGGGTAAGGACATTGTTAGCACGTCACCCTCTGGGTGATGCTAAACCAAGTCAGCACCTCACGCGCCTGAAATCTCTTGCAGGACCTAGAGCTGCCGACTCAGAAATAGTTAAAGAGCTATGGTTCGAGTCGTTACCATCACATATCCAACCAACCATCACGACCCTGCTCGAGACGCACCACTCAACCAGGTGGCCCTCATAGCAGACAAAAGTTTGGCAAACGTGGGTATCGACGCCAAACACTCCTCAGCTCAAGGTGATAAGGGCGGCCGTATTCACACACGTCTTAACTTCCGAGACCGTTGTGATATAACCGAACCCTACGTCCCTCGAGCTCGCTCACGCTCTCGAAAAGCCCTCAACACTCGCCCAACGAGGGCATCTTCCAAGCCACGCCAAAAGGCGGCTTCGGAAGCGAGTGAAGGTTGATGCTGGTTTCATGGATCCTTCGGGTCTGGTGCCCGCCGTTGTCGAGCCCCGTGTTCATACAAGGCGGGAAACGCCAAAGCTGGCGAGTAAAAGCGGCCGTACCCGCCGGCACTGCCCCCAGGTTGGCCGCTTATTTTACGTGCACGACTATCGCACAAACGCTAGGTACCTAGTGGATACAGGTGCCCAAGTTTCTGTCGTACCACGTGGTAGCATCAAGTCACAAGCTGCAATGCTTCGACTACGCGCTGCGAATGGCTCAGCCATTCCTACCTACGGTACACGACAACTAGCGGTCAACCTGGGCAACCGACGACGGTATCTGTGAACGTTCATCATTGCCGATGTTCCCACAGCCATACTAGGTATTGATGTCCTACAGCACTACGAATTGCTAGTTGATTCACGTACACTGCAGCTAATTGATACTTCGTCGAACAGCAAATTCATGGGCTTTAGAGCTCACACAAACGCGTACCGAATCCTCGGCACTTTTTATTCGCGTGACGATAAATTCCACGCTTTATTCGAGAAATTCCCCAGAATGACTAAACCACTCAAGGAGATTTCATCGGTGACCAATCGTGTGGTACACCACATTGTTATTCGCGAACCACCGGTCACGGCAAGACCACGCCGACTGGCACCGGACAAATTAGCTTTCGCTAAACGTGAGTTTGACAATTTACTATCTGCTGGTAATATTCGTCCTTCTCACAGTCCTTGGGCCTCTCCTTTACACATGGTGCGCAAAAAGGATGGGGTTAGTTGGAGACCATGCGGCGAATGCCGAGCATTAAACGTAGTTACGCGCTTTGATAGCTACTCCATCCCCCACATACACGACATCACGGCATCGCTCAAGGGCACGACTATATTTTCTATGATCGATCTGGTATGAGCATATCAACAGATCCCAGTCGCTGTTGAAGATATCGAAAAAACTGCTATCACGACTCCGTTCGGTCTGTTTGAGTTCTTACGAATGCCATCTGGATTACGGAATGCTGCTCAAACTTTCCAAAGGTTTATCGATAGCATAGTACGAGACTTGGATTTTGTTCACGTCTATATTGATGACTTGCTAATCGCATCATCAAACGTAGATGAACATTATCAACACCTTACACTATTATTCCAACGCCTTTCGGATAATGGAATAGTAGTCAACCCACAGAAATGTGAATTGGGTAAATCAGAAATAATATTTCTGGGTCACATCATCAAACAAGAGGGTATTTTGCCTAGCGAGGACAAAGTTCGAGCAATCAAGGAGTACAACGTGTCGTCCTCAATCAAGGAACTGAAGGCTTTTCTCGGTTTGGTTAACTTCTACCGACGTTTTATCCCGCACGCGGCAGAACGTTTACGACCATTGGCCGATTAACTATACGGTAATCCACGCAAATTAGAATTGAACGATACCGCACGTACTGCATTCTCAGAGATCAAAACGGCTCTCGCTGAAGTTACACTCCTCGCTCATCCTGACCCATCAGCCACGCTTAGTATAGCGGTTGATGCATCGGATTTTGCCATAGGAGCCGTCACAACAGAATATCTCCGGTAGTTGGCATGCGCTCGAATTTTTCTCACGACGACTTCCACGGAGACGAGATATAGCGCTTTTGGTCGCGAGCTGCTTGCAGCCTACTGCGCCATCAAACATTTCCGGCACGCAGTAGAAGGACGCCAATTCATTTTATTCACCGACCATAAGCCCTTAACGTATGCTCTGCATACCAAGTCTGACCGCTACTCACCAAGAGAGTGCAGACATTTGGACTATATCTCCCAGTTCACGACAGACCTTCATCACATCGAAGGAGAGTCGAACTATGTTGCCGATGCCCTATCACGTATCCAAGCGAATTCAGTTACTTTACCGGTGCTCGATCTTCCTGCTATGACCACCGTGCAAGTAAACGATCCTTTCTGTACAGAAGCACCACAATCTTCGTCCCTTCAGTGCCAGGAAGTACCCCTAGCTACTAGCTCAGATACTATCCCATGTGATATTTCTACCGGTCTTCCTCGACCCATCGTACCCCCTGCCTATCGCCTTCTCATCTTCGATGCCCTTCATGGATTGTCTCATCCGGGTATCGCAGCCACATTACGTCTCGTCGCTGCACGATACGTCTGGCAGTCCATGAATAAAGATGTTCGTATGTGGGTAAAGCAATGCTTACAGTGTCAACGATCAAAAGTGCACAGGCACGTAGCTGCCCCTATTGGCACGTTCGCTTCGCCTGATGCTCGCTTTGATCACGTTCATATAGACATTGTAGGACCATTGCCACCATCGCATGGGTATGATCACATACTCACGTACATCGACCGTTTTACAAGATGGCCCGAAGTTATTCCCATCACGTCTATCACGGCGCAGACAGTTGCTCACCGCTTCGTAGAACGATGGATAGCATTGTACGGTTGTCCTTCGACTGTCACGACTGACCGAGGACAACAATTTGAGTCCGCATTATTCTCCTCACTGACCAGGCTGCTTGGTACGGAACGCATACGCACTACCGCCTACCATCCATCATCGAATGGTTTAGTCGAGCGGTTTCACCGCCAACTTAAAAGTGCTCTCCGAGCACACGAAAACGACAATTGGTACGAAACCCTACCGCTCGTTCTCTTAGGCATCAGAGCGAGTTTGAAGGCAGATATTCAATGTTCCGCCGCTGAACTTGTATACGGCACGACATTGCGTCTGCCTGGGGAATTTTCGACACCACGGAGCAGTAATGATTTCGGTAAATCAGACTACGTCCATCGACTGTCTGCATTTATGCAGACGCTGCCTCCGGTGTCAACTCGAATACAACATCGACAGGTCGCTCTCCCTCGAAAGTTATCCACCTGTTCACACGTTTTCATACGAGTAGATTCGGTACGCAAACCTCTACAACAGCCTCACGAAGGACATTTTCACGTGATCTCTCGTCATGTAAAGACCTTCAAGGTTGATCGACATGGCCGCGTCGAGATCGTCAGCATTGATCGTCTCAAACCAGCACACGTCGATGACAGTGCACTACCCGATAACTTGAGACTCAATGCTAGACCTATCAAACCTACTAGCGGGATCTCTACATCTACCTCGGATCCCACGCTAGATACATCAGAGACCTCGTTCTAACGTCCCGGTCGACAGCACGCTTCATCTGCACCATCTACGGACGAGACTTCCGTCTCACGTCCAGATTGGCAGACCACGCCGCCCCTGGCCTCGGATGAGATCGCAGGCTCACGAAGTACGAACGAGACTACCGTCTCACGTTCCGGTCGCCGAATACACTTACCCGTACGCTTTCTCGACTAACCACACAGTCAACAACGGATACGGTGTAAAATTATTCCTATACTACGCGCATGCTACACTTTTCTTTTTTTATATTTTTTTGTATCCTGAGCCCACGCCTCCGACCATCGCCCGTTTGGTAACGTCAACTTCAGTCAACCTTGGCGAAAGCTGGCCTGATCACTCACGCTCTTGTCAACTCACTCAGTCGATAATCTTGTTTCGAGT